GAAAGCTGCGCTCCGCGGGAGCGGGGCCCCGCGCACTCCTGCAGCAACAATTGCTTTGCAAGTGCTCACGCTCTCGCAGCCTCCGTCCCCGGGGAAGCGGGCGATGCTTTTCCACATGCAGAAGTTAGGGGTGACGCTAGCGAATGTTCTATTTTCCTGCCTTCTTGTATTATCCAAATGTAGACCACGTATGTGAATTCACAACAGCGGAGCTCTTGTCCAGTGGAGGCTCCAGCCTTATGTATTTACAAAGGACAAAATCTGGTTTCTGCAATTCATTGCTTATCTGAAGGCTGGAACTCTCCCTGCTGGGCTGCTGCTTTGCAGGGAATGCTGTTTGTGTGAAAAAGCGTGGCCTGCACCCCGAGCTACTGTGCTGCAAAACCACTGCCTGTTTTTGTGGGGCTTTGCTTTCCTTACAGAACAGTTAGCTGTGGATTTGTTTGCTGGGCATCCATGCCCTGGCCTTCCTACCTTACACCTTGCTGTCTTATAAACCTCACCCTGAAAAGAGAGTCTTCTCCCCATCAATTTAGAGACTACAGGCAGGCGATGGCAACGGCAGCATGACAGGTTGGCTGTATTGTCACAGAACTGTTTTGCAATGTTTCTTTCTGGCCATATATCGTTAACTTGGATAGCTCAGACCCTTTGGAGAATTCCAAATTCATGCCAATTTCTATTTCATTAGGTCTTCACCTTTGCTAATCCTTTCACCCTACCACCTCCTATGCCTAATTTCTTTAATAGCATTCCTGGAATACAGTTCAATTTCCTTTTTAAGTGCAGTTTCCAATTTTGAGTTTCCAATTAAGTGCAAATGAGGTGCTTCTGAAACTCCCGGAGGGATGCCTGTTTATGTCCCTACCAACACCTTTCCAAGTCAGGTTTGCTGTCAGTCAAAAACAAACCCAGGACTAAAGCTATTTGAAGTACCTGCAGGATGACCAGATGCATGAACCAGCATCTGGGCTGCAGACATCCAAGGGGAGAACAGATGGCAACTGATACAGTCCATTTTGTTACACACTATCGTTTATGAAGTGAGTTCTTGGGCACCTGAGGCTTAATCATGCCAAGAGGATGAATGCTCCCAGCTTGAGCAGACGTTAAAAGGTACTTATTTCCAGTACTGAGCAATTACCAAAAAATACCCCAAATTATAAGGGGTTCTATGAGGAAAGGACTGAAACCCCAATTACAGGGAATATTACTGAGGAAATAATATTATTCAATGCTTACTGGTGTTAACCTCCTCAGTATCGGAAAACGTGAAGGCTAGGTCTGAAAAAAGTGACACCCAAATCACCAAAGAGCTGGGGTTGGGATCTCCTCACCAAACATTGGCAGACTTGGGCTGGTAATGCTGCTAGAATAAGAATTTGGAGATCTTTTTTCCAGCTGCCTCACAATATTTAGTGGCTATGTCATTCCCCTTCACCCTCCATAGGTGCACCCAGCACCCCCAGCTCATACCTCTACCCTCCTTACCTCAGTGGTCTACATGCTAAGCTGTTTTCCTCATTCCTGTTTTCTCTAGGACTCCATTTGTTTCTTCTGGCCTCACGAGGGCCTCCAATGGCCTTTTATTTCACAGCAGGATGTTAAGGAGCCTTTATGCCAGTGTTTTTGTACAGGCAATGAATCAAAGGATGGGTAGAGTCTTCACCCTTAAAAAAAAGTCAAGAGATATCAGAGGGCAGCCCCTACAAAATGACTCTGCAGATTCTAACTGATATAGTGCCTGTCCCTATCATTCTGCCCTAAAGGTTATCTTCAAGGATTTTTGGATCCAGGCCAGCTTAGTTAGTATTCACAGTCTTCTGACTCACATCTTGACACACTGCAGCAAATGAAATGGTATCTGACTAACCCGGAGAGGACATATAACCTGTACTCAGCACTGAAATGTGAAAGCAGTAAGAAGGCACTCAAGGTCAGTCTTGGTACCACAGTTTTGGTGATACATAATTAGAGCAAAATGTTCTGTGAACTTTCAGGCTTCAATTACAATTTCTGAAATTCAGGACAGGGAAGAAAGGAACAGAGAGGTGCATATTAGATTCCCAGAATCAATTCCACCTCCGCCTTACCCCACCCCCCAAGCAAAATACCCACTGTTTTCTCATGCAGCTGTTTCAGCCAAACTCTTGCCAAATAAAACTAAAATATCAATTTCTTACCATTCCAAATTTCAGCATCAGTCAAGCTTTGCACAGAGATCTGTCCCATAACATCTCCTGACAAGCACATAATGTACAAACAAAGACCACTAATTCCAGTGTGTAACCTCCAAAATTAGTAAGACTAGAAGTCATATTCTTGGAATATGAGTCTCTATGGTGACAAAATGTCACCTCAAACACATACGTGCATATCTGGACTCAGCTCAAATGCAGGGTTTTCAAGGGCCCGCCTATCCATAAGATTTCTCTCCGTGTCTTCCAAGATAACAATCGACTTTTTTGGGTTTGGCTTTCCCAGGTAGTGTGTACATATAATTTCCCCCATATAAGCCTTTAATTTAATTTTTATAACCCAGTGTCCCAGGACTTTTGGAAGGTAATTTTTTTTCCTTTACTGGCTCTTGTTCAGATCAACTGATTTTTTTACATAAAATTGTGATATTGAACTTCCTATGATTTTTCTGTCCCTACAGAAGGTCAAACTTAATAGAAAATTTGGAAGTATGCCAATGAAAATCCATAGCGCAGATGGGCTTTACCTATGATATGTTTTCAGAAAATAAATATTGACTGTTGTTGACATTACATCTAATTCCCATAGGCTATATCTGGATCTTTTCTCCAACTTAACAGGAATTAAAGCAGCATGACCCAAACAGCAGAGTATTATTAAAAACAAGGAAGGATCTCATACAGACCTCTATAGAATAAACAGAATGTTGGTTGTTACGCTCTGGCAAATATGCAAAGACTGTAAAAGGAAACTATAATATTTAATACCTACTATATTGAGGGTTATTGCAAAAAGAAAAAGACTTGTGCCTTGCAACTTTAGTCCTTGTTTTTAAAATTTCATTCTTTAAGATAATATTAAAAAATCTTGGAAATTCTGAACTGAGAAAGGAGCCACCAAACAAGATTAAAGTTCTGTCTGTTTCTATCTTCTCAGGAATACCAAATCTTATTTCTACTTTTTCTGTTGTTATTAATCGTAGGCTGACTCAGGATATGGCTAGTTTCAGCCATGACTGCAGCACAGAGTAGAGATACTGGTGCTCCCTGCACACTGGCTAGCAGCACAGGTACCTGAAGCAGTGTAGCCATGGCAGCACAGAGCTATGAGTGGCCTAATTACTCTGCCAAGAAATAAATGAATACTGGGAATACCCTGGGGGGAAGACGGTTGAATTGTTAACAAAGAGTTTCCCCCTGAGGCGTGTAAGTTAAATAGGTGTTATCAAGAGCCAAAAAACCTCCAGCTTCAACCTTAGAATAAAAATGCCTTTGTCCTTTGGCACTTCTGATGTCCTGGTCCTTCCAATTCTCCTGCTGTTTATAGAGATAAAAGAAATATGTGATTTTAGTATCTGATAGAAAACCTAAAATAAAGCAAAACTGTTCCTACCCCTAATTAAAATCTATAAGATCTCCTTAAAGAGACAAAAGTAAACGTTTCTCCTGGTTGGAAACACAGAGTTCTGGTGGCAGTGGTGGGGTGGAGGTGCCTGAGTATCCTGCCTCCATAAGGACACACAGCAGGGTCAGTCCCCTGAACTCTTCTGAGGAACGTGTTCAGACCTGGTGTTTACCATGCCTGTAAAAAAAGGAAGGATATATATGTATTTTATGGGGAAGACCAAAGAGAAGAAATAAATGAGAGCAAGATTTAGGGGAAAGGAATTTACTTATGCCATATCTTTTCCCACCAACTTTTCCTCATACACAAGAGTGGACATGGTTAGAGGAAGGTGAAGGGAAAATATTACCAATATGCTCACTTTTTTACAAGTTCAAAACACACACAGCATTTTTCTGAAAATGGAGCCCAAGACGTCACCAAAATTACACATGCAATGTTTTATTTTAAAAGCTCAATCTGTATTATAGGTTTTTAAGCCAAATTACATGAGCAAAATCCACATTATTTGGCTGAAATTCCCTTTGAGGTCAATGCGAGTTTAACTAGTTTAAGGCCTGAAGTGTAAAGCCATTTCAGAAAACACACTGGTTTCTCCAGGTGGAGAGCTTGGTGAGTATTGCCAAATGAGAATCTGTCAGCTTGTGCCCAGACTAACTAAACACTGCAACAGCCATGTGCTGAAATGGCTGTTTTGAGGAGACAGCCAGAAAATTTTGAGTTTGCCGTCTCCTAACAGAGGCCAGTAAATGTGTAGAGGCTAAAAGTTGCCATTTTATCCCATTAGTTTGAATGTGAAAAAAACAACAGGACCCTACTAAAACCCAAGTTGGATTTAATTTCCAAATGTTCAAATGCTACAGCTCAGACATACACATGCCATTTAGACCTAACCAAACTGATTCTACTTTTCTATGCAGGCAAAGAAGCAACAGAGGTGAAAATCCCACAGAGTTTCCAGGATGTGATGGTCAATGATGAGCAGTAATTACTGCAGCAACAGTTCAGCCAGCATGAGTGTCAACGAAATGTCTGCCTTCCCTCTGACTTTAGAGCAAAAAACTGGCTTTGCCTTTGTGGGGATTTTGTGTGTTTTCTTGGGACTTCTAATTATCAGATGTTTCAAAATCTTGCTAGACCCCTACAGTAGTATGCCTTCTTCTACATGGGAAGATGAAGTTGAGGGGTTGGATAAAGGAACATTTGAATATGCTCTTGCATGAAAATTCACTAATACCCTGCCTTAAATTTGATGTTGATTTCATTTTGGAAACCAACTGTTATAACATTTGTTATACATACCTGCGTTTTGGAGATACATTGGTGGCATCCATTTTGTTAAATAAATATTTGCTGCAAACTCAAAAGGTTCTTCACGTTGCTTTTACTTGAGGAACCATGGAATGGTAGATAAGAAGTGATTAACAACAAAGAAATATCACGATAAACTATTCAGTAAGAACATTACAATGGCCAGAAAGTATTTCAAGAATCCTATGATACCTCTCTGAGGAAGACCTAATTTCTACTGTGTCTCATGATAGGCTGGAGAGAAACATGAAAGACAAAAGACAGGCTCACGGATGGTGAGTGCTTGAGTGGTAACTCCCTCCCTGCCTCATTTGATAGAATTTTATGAGGCTCGGAGACTGTGCTTGTATACTGAAAATACAAAAGCAGAGCACAACAAATGGTTGTGGCTCAGAGGAGGTGTCTGCAAGAGGTTTTGCGTCCATATTCCTGAGATGAGGAACAAGGGTTGGTCCACACACTATCAATAATAATGAACTAACAGGAAAGCTAAAGATCACATGAATTGCTAACCCACCTCTCACCTTCCAAGACAAGCAGGTGCTCTACCACTGGCTGTTTACAGGAAAGTGCACGCTGCTTCTCTTGTGTGAAACTTGATCTGGTCCTCTGCAAACAGCGTGTAGCTCATATGAGAGTATTTTTTTAACAGGTCTCCTTTCTCCTGCTCTACAGCAACTGAAAGTCAAACAAATAGCAGAAGGGAAACAAACATCACTAAGGAAAATGTTGATTTTACAAACATTCAGTAATATAAAACATATTACCTGCCCAGAATTCCAATTTGAACTAGCACCACCACAGTCCTAGTCCACAAATGTCTCCCATACTGTTAAAAATTTTAGGTGAAAGACAAAAAGTGAACATTAAGTCACCAATTTCATAGTCTAGCTGAATTGCTCAAGACGTGAATTTTTTACTCCACCTGGTTGCAGAAGATGGCTCAGTTTAAACTGGAACTTAAACTGTCTGGTTAACAGCTCCCAGCAGATGTTACCAGGTTGGAAAGGCCAAAGCAAAGACAGTCATGCTGCATACTCACTTGTACCCAGAGCATGAAAGGGATGGAGGTCCAGAGCTGACTGGAGATCTCAGTACTCTCCAGCCCCTCTCCACAGCTAGTTTTTCAGTTAATGCTTCCATAACTGTACACAATGTATGATCTGGATTGTCAAACTGAAGAATTGGTCACAGGAGATCCTATCAAGGCAGAAGAACTACCAGTGAAATCAGAGACTCAAATCTGGGTACTCAGGGTCATACACACAGCTGTTTAGCCAGTGTGACAGCACTTGACAGATATTCCCTTCAGTTTTTAGGAGAGTTGGCTTTGGAATTTTAAGCACCATCACTTTTGCTAAACAGCTCTGTTTGCAAAGAGGAGCAAAGACAAGGAAATCAGTTACAGCAGTTGGTTTCTTTCACATGTATTCTGAAAAATACATGTTGTCCCTTTTGCCCTATATACTAGGCAGAGGCAGCTAGTGGAACAGCAGGCCTCCAGTGCCGTTTGGAGCATGAAATACTTGGTTTTACAGGGAAGGACACGAATCTCCTGTCTAAGAGAGGAACAGCCAACACTAATCTACACTACTCCATTTGAATTATAAACCAAACAATTTTGCAAACGTAATAGCTTTTAAGCTGCTTCAGATTCTGCATAAGAAAAAACACCAGACCCTCAGAGATTCAGTATATTGTATTTATGCTAGTTAATTTAACTACAGTGCACTGATTCATGGGATCTGCTGGATAGGATCGTCCACTGCAGGGACCTGACACTGCTCTTCTTTCTGCGTACACCTAATCAGCAGAGCTGAGCTCTGCGCTGTCAGGTTAGAGTGCTAAAGATACTTCAGTTATCTGGGTTAAATATAGTTCGGTTATCTCTAAACTACACAGCAAACATGGCAGACATACCTAAAATACCCCAATACTGTCTTACTACTTTTGTCTTAATCTATTGCTAGAACCAATTCTCAAATTCCTTCACGATTACAAAGCTTCATCATTTCCTGCTCACTCTTCTCTGCACCCCCAAAAAGAACAGGGAGACAGCTGTCCCAGAAAGAATACAGAGAGTAAAAATTTTCAAAGGTTTCCCTTGAGTATACAGAGTAAAACTTTGAACGAGATTATGAGCAAATGGTTCAAAACCACGTGGGGGACAAGGGGACCCACCAACGACTGATTCTATTGACTTCACTGGCAACTCTTCCACATAAAACAGACTGAGGAGAAGCCTGAACTCTTGTGATCTCCATATATATATCCATGCATAGATGCAAAACTGAAAAATATGGAGATCATAATCTGTGCACAGAATCAGTCATAGCTGGGAGGGAAATGGAGATAACAAAAGTATTTTCAGGCCCCTTCAGAAATTTTGCAATACCATAAACCCAGTAATTGTAATGGATAGGAACATTTGCTGGTTAATAGTTAACTAGCTAGAATGCCTCCCTAAATCACCATCTAGAAATGTTTTGCAAGAGAGGGATTGGATTGTCTATTTCATATATCAAGCAGGAGAAAAATCTGGCCAATAAGGCAGAGTCTGTAACGCCCCAAAGAGAGGGACACGCTATATGCACAAATAAAAGAAGCAGATTGTCCTTCCCTAAAAACACAGGACTGAATGGTAAGTTAAATTTTCCTGGATAAGGTAAACTTGATTATTTATGTGTAATGCTCGAATACTAAACACAAAATTAATGGCAACTCATAGCTGAGAGACCTCTGGAAATACACTGTGAAAATCAAAGTATTATTTTCAAGAACAGCAGAAAGGTAAGAGATTTTTCTTTTCCTAGCAAAACAGTAATATTATGGAAATAAGACAGTGAAATTACAGAATCATTTTACTTGGTGGCAAAAGTCTTATTGTCATCAAAGAATCAGGATAGCATTCAGCCATGAAGATGGAAACAAACCTACTTTCACTGACCTTGATGAGAAAAGATTTGGGTTTGGTCCTTCATGTCTGAAGATGAAACACTTCCTTGCAATTTTAAAAGGCTAAAGGAAGCCGAATATTATCAACGATCAGAAATATGTAGTAGCAGTAATAATAATAATATTGATCATCCGTGCCCAATAGAAATAAACTAAACTAAATAAATGTAACAAAACATGTTATGAGGCTTACAAAACATTAAGCAGGAAAAACCACAGAAACACAAGGGGATTATAAAGTGATATCATAGCAGAGAGGTTACAGCAGAATATTATCTATAGCTGATGGAAAAAGTGAGAAAATATGCTTTAGCTATATCTCATACTCAAGACAGAGGACATTTGATTATCAGCTCTTAAAATTATAATTTTGAGATGTGATTTTAGAGAAAATTTACATTGCTGAGGTATAAAAATTGATGCAGTATTTTATCTTTAAGTCCCAAAGGGCTAAATGCATTTCACAAAATCACTGAGAAATATAAATTGGAAAAAAGTCTCTGGAGGTCATCTAGTCCAACTTCTTGTGAAAGCACAAAACTTTAAAAAAATGCCTCTAATGGGCTTATTTATCCAGGTCTTCAGTTCATATAGTCTTTTATATAGATGCATTTTAATTCTAAAACTCTCTGCTTTTACACAGACCTGCAGAGTTTCAATGTCTAAGCATGCTCTGTTTTAGTCAGTTTGAACAGACCTGCTCTCCTACTGAGTTATACTGGTCTATACAATCAGACTTCCTTATCTCCTCAGAAGTATGTTTCAGGACATATGGATTGCCATTGTTTCAACAGTTCATTTCAGGATCAGGTAATCTAGGACATCTAGGTGATGCCATAAATTGCTGCAAAGGTATTTAACCCACTAACGGCCTTAAATATAAGTATCCCTTTTGCTCTTGGGATTTTTGTGTTCTTGTTTTTTTGAGGGTGTCTGTGTGGGAGAGTGGAGATAGGAAGCAGGTTGTACAGCTGTCACATATTCACCTTTCTGTGGGCTGCCGCTCAGAGGGACCTGCATGGGCTAGAGGAATGGGCCAACAGGAATCTCATGACATTCAACAAGGACAAATGCAAATCTGTACCTCAGAGTAAACTCCTGCACCATACAGGCTGGGGCCTCACTGGCAGAGAGCAACTCTCCTGGAAGGGATCTGGTGAGCAGCAAGCTACAGAGTGGTCATCTCCATGCCCTGGGAGCAATGAAGGTGAACAGTGTCCTTGGGCTGTGTTAACAGGACCACAGCCAGCAGAACAAGCAACGTGATCATTCTCTGCTACTGGGCAGTCAGACTGCACCTAGAACCCAGTTTCTGTCTACCTGTGCTCCCAACACCTGCCCATGTAAGAAAGATGTTAATCATTTTGTGTGTCTGATGAAGGGCCACCAGGATGCTCAGGGGTAGGTACATTTGCCCTGTAAGCAAGTGGGACTTGTTTGACCAGAAGAAAAGGCATTAGGAGAACATAAGCAGCCCCCCAGTATTGATGAGGAGATTACCGACAAGGCAGAGCCATGCTCTTTACTGAGGTGCACAGCAGGAGAGTGACAGATGATAGTCACAGAGTGACACACACAGAAGATTTCAACTGGATATACAGGGGGAAAAAAAAACCCACACTTTGAGGAGAATTAAGTATTACAATAGGTTCGCAAGGCAGGTTGTAGAATCTGCCCTTGGAGAATGTTAAGATCTGACTGGAAAAAGCCCTAAGTAACCTGAATCATACTCAGTGTTCCCTGTGCTTTGAATGGGAAGTTAGACTAGGTAAGCTCCCAACATCCCCTTCCCACCTGTGTGATTCTATGACTTGCTACAATTTCTTTCAAATCATCTTAAATGGTGTTTTGGTCATGTACAAATGTAAAACTGAGTGTAAAATTCTATGAAGCTTCCAATGCCTAGGACTACTGTGAATATTTCTCAGTTTAACTGTAGTTATTTATTTATTCTATT